AAGGAAAGACCGCAGATTGCCATATGTTGCTTAGAATGATTAGGTAAATTAAAATGTCTAGCGACTGGTTTCGATGTGTCCTTGTCATTCCTTTCCACGTCTCGAAGGTGTTCTCGGAATCGGTCACCTAGTCTTCTGCCTGTTTCGCCGATGTATATCTTTTTGCAATAAGTGCAAGTTATGCAATAGATTACATTGGCGGAGGTGCACGTGAAGTGATCGGTGATCTTAATGGATCGTTTAGGTCCCGATATTTTATCAGTGTTGTGAATGAAAGGACACGTTTTGCATCGTGCACGAGCGCATTTAAAAGTGCCTGGTTGGTCATTAGTCTGAAAAGAACTTCTGACCAAAAAATTGCCTATGTTTTTGTCGCGTTTGAATGAAATGAGCGGAGGCTGCGAAAAGATAGTGCTTGTCTCTGGATCGTTTTGAAGTAATTTAAAGTTTTTAAGAATGATGGATTTAACTGAGTGGTTGTGAGGGTGAAACGTGAGAGTGAATGGAATGCGGTCGGAATCTTCCTTATGCGACGTTTGTAGTGCTGAATGTCGATCAATAAGTTGGGCGCGGTGGTAACCCGCTTGAACGACAGAAACAGGGTAACCACGTTTATCGAAAAACTGGCACATTGACTCTGATTTGTGGTGGAAATCAGAGTCATCACTACATAAACGACGAAGTCTTAGAAACTGAGAAAAAGGAATGGAATTCTTAACGTGAGATGGATGCGAAAACGAATATAACAAGTAATTATGCGGGTCTGTAAGTTTGTAATACACACTAGTGCATAAACCGTTACCTTCAATTGAAACTTTGATGTCTAAAAAGGATAAAGAATTGTCAGAAATTTCCCAGGTATATTTCATAGCCGGGTGAAAAGATTTGACTGCGGTTATGAATTGAGTGAGCTTCTCTCTGGTAGAGGAGGTAGCACCGATACAGTCGTCGATGTAGCGACCGTAGCGTTCAGGTTTGGACCCGTTGTAAAGGCTGAAAAATTGATGCTCGACAAAACCTAGAAAAAGATTGGCATAGCTAGGTCCCATTTTGGTGCCCATCGCTACACCATTGGTTTGTTTGAAGAAGTTGTTTCCAAATGAAAAACAATTGAGTGTGAGCACTAGTTCTGCTAAGCGTAGTAGTGTTTCAGATTTAGGTTCCTTAACAGTACGTTGATCAAAAAATGTTCTTGAAGTCTGATAGATATAGAACGCGACCCAGTTGATTGAATTTGCAGATGGCTTTTCGGTTTGTCACAGCAGCAATGTAAATTTAGCTAACTAATTATGCAAAAAAATGCAGGAAATGAGGGTTATCTCACTGGGACCCTGTATCTTCCAGGGAATAAATATTTTGACCTATTATATTCACACATTTGTTAACTCATGATACTTAGCATTTGTGCCAAGTTTTTGAGCCAAATCGGTGATTTGAGCTTTATCGTTCCTGCCCGGTTCTGCCCGGTTTTCTCGTGGACACGTTCTTAATGAGCTAACAATGTACAGTCCAACCTCCATATGCGACCACCTCTCGCAAGCGACCATCTCTCGTTAGTGACCACCTCCCGTAAGCGACCACCTCTCGTAAGCGACCACCTCTCGTTAGCGCCCACTTTTTTAAAATACCAAACGTTTGCAAGGAAAATCACTTAAAATGGAATCCTTCGTAACCGAACTTCTCTCGTAAGCGACCAGTTTTAGATATGCTTTTCTATAATTTTCAATTGTTTTTCACCTCCTGTTAGCGACCACCTCACAGAAAATTGGCTTTATCTCTCACGAGCGAGAACTGAAAATCGTTTCATCAAATGTCGTAACTTGCAGTAACAAACGAGCCAATTTTCACGTGAATTTTCCTAAACGTTGTAATAATTTGTGAGATACATAACAATCGCCATAGATCTTAAGATTTTTTTTTTTGCATAAGCCACTAAAATATATTACTATAGTATTAGATAAGAGCCGGCGAAAGGGTCCCGTCCTGACCTCTGGGAAGGCGGCCAACTCCCGTAAGCGATATCCACCAGTTTGTTTAAGCTGGTGTTCTTCTTCAACTGAGTGACTTACAAGTCCAAGCTGACAAGTAATGAGTAGCGAGTGACAATAAGAATGAGCAATAAAACAAAATGGTAAAAGTTGGAGACGTATGTGAAAAGGATAAAGCAATTATTCCAAAATGTCATTTTAAAGAGAAGTCATGCGTTGAAATTACCTGGTGAAAAAAATAATGGCCCACCAAACGTGTAAGGTTAGCATAAATAATGAAAACATTCAAGGTACTTAGAAAAATCTCGGTCATCAATATTTTTAGCATTTCCGGAAGCAATGAATAGAAACAAAATTTCCAAATGCTCCTGGCCAATGGAAATTCAGTCAATAGAGCTTCAGATTCCTAGCTAACAAATCTTTCACAACAAACTACAAATTATCGTCGTAAAAGGTGTAATTGTCAATAGTTGGTTACCTCCATGTGTTAGCTTTTGTGCCCAGTTTTGCAAACGTTTGTCATGCTACATAGATTCGAAATTTGGTTCATTTTTATCCAAGTTGTTGCATTTCAAATGGGAGCTGGAGATTCCATATACGAAGACTTCAAAGTTAATTGGTGTCGCCAGAGGAAATGGAGGCTGGATTGGGAAGGTCTGCAAAAACCTTGTCAGAACCTTCATTATAGGAGACACGATGGACAACAATATCAAAGGTAACTCGCTATTGAAATACTTTAAGTGAAAGCCCCGTAGTTGAACACAAGGCCTTAAAATGAAAACTGATTAAAAGATCTCAGATAGGCAGAGTCCAGGTTTAACTCAAGGCTATGAGATGCTGAGTCTTTTGATCAGTTTACCAGTGTCACAGAATCTATATCCTAATTACAGATCTTAATTAAACAATTTATCCTGCTGAGTCTGAAGGAAAACAGGCCTAAAGAGAGACCCTCTCGAGGCCATTAGCCATCGCGTTTTAACAAACCGCCCTGCTCGCAACAATGTGATGGAGTGAATTTGGCATGGATGTTGCCCGTAGTTTTTGCTGACCACTGCAACCTTCAATAAAAATACTTCAGGCTTGAATTTTGTTTATATTTTTGACAAAATGAAGACAGATGATAACAATCCGTCTAAAACAGTGAAGATGATTTGCCGCTTCAGGTTGAAAACTTCTCCAGAAGACAGTGAAATATTTGATTTGCAAATCCGACCCACAGGGGAATACAGTCGGTTTTTCGTCCAGTCCCGCACGCATACTGCCCAGCGGAAGACATTTGGAGGGGACTCTTGGAGAGTGTACATTGAAGGACCCTCGCACCTTGCAGGGACCGTGTTTGATCATAATAATGGAGTATATGAGGTTTTGTTTCTGATAATGGAGCCTGGAGAGTATAAAATCAGAATGATTCTGGATTACACATTGTGTGATGGATTAATTGATCCTCCCATGGACTGGTTTAAAAATGGTAAGAAGCAGCTGCTCAAAACTAAAAAGAAAACTAATTTTCGCCAAAGACTTCTTTTTTTAGGTTGCTAGGAGACATATCCTCCTAGGATAATTTAACATGATTATTTTGAAGATTTCTCGGTGTTCCAATTCTCCATTCTTGTGTCAACTCTCGATTCGTCTGTGCATGGCCACAAACGGAGTACTCTTTCCTCAAAAATTTATCGAGGTTTGAATGGACAACCTCAATGGACATGATCAAACCCCGCCATCAGCAGAATAAACTTATCCGTTAGTCGGTTCATTTATGTAACAATGAGTGGATCTGCGATCGACAAAATTTCTCACCAACCAAATAGTCTTTACAATCACGCTAACGAGTGTCACGTGTTGTGGGAATGGAGCGATAGATAGAACTTCCATTATCTTATCTTTATCCTTTTTGCGTGTCGTTATTTTCTTTGTCGTTTATTTTCAGCTCACTGCTCAGGAAAGTTTCACAACTTTCTCCTGAGCAAGAATCTCTTTTCAGAAATGACTGAATATATCAACAAACCTCTGTTGTCTGCTAAAAACAAAAAACTTATTATTCCGTGGCAACGCCTCACAAACATGGGTACGTAAATTGAGAATACTTTTCTAACTATATTTTGAAATTTACTTCTGCTGCATATGGTGAAGGAATGAATATTGGACAAACAAAAATTTTACCTGCAGTTTGATTTTAATCAAGTGAAAGATACAAAATAAATCTATTTAAATAAAAATTGTGCTAATAACAATACTGAGGGAAATTAATACGTAACTGTAGCCATATAACTGATGAAATTGAGATGTGAAATTGCGTTTTAAACGGAAGGGCAACTGCTCTCCCATTCATATTTTTCTGTCGCACAGCTCCTTTAAAAATATAGGTTTTGATGCCCATATATTCTTGTGAAACAAACTTTACCATAAGCCCAGTGTACCGTGACTGTCCATATATATATATTTTTTTATCATTGTTATTAGAGATTCAAAATAACATGCGCCAAGCTGACAAAGAATGTGATATTCAGTGTAACCTGGTGTGGGACGGCTTCGGTAGATGGGTGACTGGTTACAAATGGCTACCCTATATGAATTTTACAACAGAAGGTGAGCAAGCAGCATAATGAAGCAATTGAGAATAGCTCCAAAAAAACACCCTCGTAGACAACTCGCGCTCTGATTGGTCAAAAATAAATTGTATCTTTGCCTTTACACCCATACAAAACTGATACATCTTCCTTACCGTGAAATGGGGCCACAGTG